ATCATAGCATCATCCTCCTGTCTCACCCTATCATAGCATCATCCTCCTGTCTCACCCATCATAGCATCATCCTCCTGTCTCACCCTATCATAGCATCCTCCTGTCTCACCCTATCATAGCATCATCCTGTCTCACCCTATCATAGCATCATCCTCCTGTCTCACCACCTCTCTACAGATCTAAACCATCAGATACAACACCTACAAAGACCTGGAGGCAGAACCTAAAGGCACCATAGATGAGTGTGAGCTAGTGGCAGGCTGCAGTGTAACGTTAAATCCCACCTGTCCACATCAAACAACGGGACATTGTCCTGACTAAACTATAAAAATAGACTTCAGATCATTTGTTCAGCATAACTGTTGTTGACTCGTACCTCTGACCAGGCAGCTGTATGTTTGAATGTGGATTATTTTGATCAAGTTTAGTTTATTTTTGAGTCTTTGTGAAAAGTGTCATTACAGTGTGATTGACAGCCTGTTAACGAGGCGGGATGGTGTGCAGGAAGGACTTTTATATCAGGTATATAACCTCACGGCCGATATGTGCTGGTTCCTTTACAACATGGCTGCACCAAAAACCACACCGACATGGTCCTCATGTTAGAACAGGAGAAAGAGAGGACACTGTCCATTGTCCTGAATGTCAATGATCCAAACTGTCTCACACAAGGTTCTGGTCAAACCAAGTGTCTTCAGGTTCCCTCACAGCTCTGTCTCTCTGCATCAGATACACACTTTTACTAATGTCACTGTATGACGAGAACATTCATCCCATCATACTAGGTTTGACTGTGTGGAGCTGTTAGCAGTTAGCTCATTAAACAACATTCACATCATAAACAATAAGTTTCATGTCAGATTAACTTCCTGAAAGCTCTCAGTTTGACATTAGAGGACTAAGAAGTGGCTCGAGCCTAAAGCTCCTTACTTTGGACCACAGTAATCCCATCTGAGCTGCCCCAAGCCTAATCTGTCCAAACTGAGACTTTTAACAACTCCAGCGTCATTATTCAGCTCAATCAACCAGTAAAACCAGTTCTTACATTTGTTTCATTATTCATGGAGTAAACCACAATATTAGAAGTCAGGTCTGCAGCTGTCATTACAACACAAACTGAACTTTAACAAAGAAAACTCATCAAAGCAAACCAATACATAATGACGTCATTAAACTGATTAAATAATAAATTAAACTGAAGCTCGTTAATCAATAAAATAAAAGATAAATCAATAAATTATTAAAAATAATAAATGTATTAGCACGTATATTTAAATAAATTAAATAAATATAAATAAATTCACTGAGGGACAATAAATCAAACAAATAAAATAATAAAATTAAATAACTAATTTGATGCTGGTGTCTGAAAGAAGTGGTTCTGGTTCGTCCCATGTCTTCATCAGATTTGGGCCTGCTAAGGTTAGCCAGCAGCTAGCATTAGGACCTGACAACAGGGTGTGTGTATTCTGGTCCTGACCCAAAACACTGGGTTCTGTGGTACCGGTAGATCCTGTGTCCGAGTCCAACAGAACCCAGGTGAGCTGTAGGCTGCAGGGTCCCGGGTAGCTCAGGTCTGATGGTGGCTAACAGAACAGAACCATCTTCTTCACTGTTTATAGCAGCTGATGGTTCTGAACACACTGAGTCTGGACCTGACCTGGAACTGGACTCTGGCAGTCCTGATGAAACACAAGCCTTTTTGATGGTGGAGCCCGAAGACTCCCTAAGCTGCTGGAGTCCAGTCCGGAACCAGTCCGGAACCAGCCCATCTTACCTGCTCATCAAATCTGTTAATCACGGCCTGGACCCATTCCACTGGTTTGTGGGCCGCCATGGCCGGCCGGACCGACACTCAGAGCCCCGCTGGCAGGTCCAAAGTACGAAGCCGGAACCGACAGCCTTATTTCCACATGAACCCGAGCTGTAGTTGGACCAGGAAGGACGGAGCGGCCGACTGTGGTCGTGTTTGTGCAGGATTCACCATGCCACCGCCATGACAATCCACCGGAAGTCTTCATCGGTTAAATTGATGGGAGTCGGTGGATCAAGTTACCTGAAGTGGAGGCGCACAGCTTCCAGGACAGGTCTTCACATCTCCTGCTCGCTACAAATAAAAACATTTCGAGGACGATGAGCAAAAACAAAACGCCGTTTTAACCAGACTACAAATCACCGAGTTTCCGCACAGTGTACCTCATATTTTGTTCATTTAATTTGCAAAAACAAGGAATTTCTTTCACAGAAGACAACTTTAGTGAGTCAAAATATACAATTTTAAATGACAAAAGTGCTGTAACTGTAGTTTTTTATTATTCCAACGATTTAAAAACATTTCTCGTGCGACATTTGCAATGTTTTAGTTTGAAAGGACAGCTTGCTTTACTTCCGACGGAAACGGACCCGTTCAGGACGCATGCGCGACAGCGACTGACTGTTTTCAGCAGGAAGATGTTATTTTTGTTTATTTATCAGCTCTTTGGTCTGTAAAGGCTCTACTGTAGCCATAAAACAACATGTCGGTCAGTAAACATTAGTAAACAATAAACAAAGACAATAATGTGGCACTTCCGGTTTATAACATACTATAGAAATGAACAGGACCATAAAACAGCTTTACTCAGTATTTACCTGAATGTCAGTCAAAGGAGAACAGAACTTTTATTTGTTTCAAATGTCTCAAGTTATATTTACATTATATAATACACTTCATGGGTCTTAAATTCATTATTTTTACAAAACATGGAACATTTATTTGATTAGTATTTTTTTTTTTTTTACAATTCAAACGTTTTAAAGTATGAGTTTATTAAAAATTTAGAATAATCTTTGAAATGTAATAAATACAAACCAAACAATTAGCTGATCTATTAC